TTATTGAAAATCACAATATCATCTTTTTGTTTCTGAACTTTTATTTTGAAATGTTTACTTAAAAAATTGGTTGTGGCCATTTTTGGATGTGGCCATCATGAGAGAAGAGATAAAAAGTAAGACTCGAAAGTTTGCATATAGTAATTTAGGGTAGAAAATGTTTTTGCAGATTCCAAATCATCCAGGAAATGGTCAGTCTAAAGGGTTTTGAAAACAACAAAAAAAGACTTGTTTCTGCAGTTGAAAACAATTCACTCCACACACAAGGAGCTCAAAACTCCACATATTTTTTTTCTAATAAAGCTTGAGACTTGAAATTGTCTTTGTCTACTTAGTTTTAAACTCTTTTTCAAAGTATAAATGTTAAAAAAGCACAAGCGGAAACGTAAACATTGTTATTGAAAATCTGCTTACGAAGCATCCCACATTAACTGTCTTGATATGAACCCACAGTTCAGAGTTTACCCACACTTTAAGTCTAGTAAATGTGTATCCTCAGTTATCAGAGATATAAACAAAGAAACAAAAAAAACCTTCAGATGCAGTGATCATGAATTGGTGGCTACCACATCTTATCTGGTTTGAAAAGGAATGAATGAATCAATAATTAAAAGGTGTATAGTATCCCTGAAGAAACACAATCAGGCTTTTCATACTTAATCATCTTATGTTGAAAAATTAGATTTGCAGCCAATTTTTTTCAAATTTTGGAAATAACATGATGCAGGTTTTCATATCATATTGAAATCTGTTAGCACGCAGCGTATTATGAATGACTCTCAGCTACTACCATTAACTGTGGATCCACACCAGTATGCATACAGGTCAAATCGTTCCACAGAGCACACTGCCCTCACCCACCTGGAGCAGAAGGATCCTTATGTCCATATGCTCTTTGTGGACTTCACATCTGCGTTCAACACCATGGTTCCTCAGACCCTGGTAAATAAACTCTCCTCACTTGGACTGAGCTCTTCCCTCTGCAACTGGATCCTGGATTTCCCGACAAACAGGCCGCAGTCTGTGAGGATCCACAACATCTCCTCCCCCACCACAACCCTCAGCACTGGCTCTCCTCAGGGCTGTGTGCTGAGCCCCCTCCTGTTCACGCTGCTCACATATGACTGCTCACCCATCCGTATAGGCTGTCATGTTGTGAAGTTTACAGATGACACAGCAGTGGTTGGATGCATCACAAACAGTGATGAGTCCAACTACAGGCGGGAGGTGGAACACCTTGTGGGTTGGTGCAAAGAGAACAACCTCTGCATCAACGTTAAAAAGACGAAGGAGATGATTGTGGACTTCAGAAGGGGCCAGCAGGCCCACCTCCCCTTGCACTTTGGAGGATCTGCAGTGGAAGTGGTGGACAGCTACAGGTACCTGGGAGTGCACCTGAGTAACAACATCACCTGGAGCACCAACACTTCCACCCTGGTCAGGAAGTCACATCAGCGCCTCTACTTCCTCTGGTGGCTGAGACGAGCTGGACTCGGGAGCTCTGTCCTCACGTCCTTCCACAGATGAGTGGTGGAGAGTGTTGTGTGCTCCAGCAGCAACGTGTGGCATGGAAGATGCTCTGCTGTAGACAGGAAAGCTCTGTAGAAGGTGGTGAAGGCAGCACTGACGATTGTTGGAGCCAGCCTCCCCAGCATCACAAATATACACACCTCCAGATGTAGGAAAAGGGCCACCTGTATCAGGAAGGACCCCACCCACCCAGCACACTCACTTTTTGCCTTGCTGCCCTCAGGCAAGAGGCTGCGGAGCATCAAGTGCAGAACCACAAGGCTGCGAAACATCTTCATCTCCAAAGCTGTAAGACTTTTAAACACTAACCTGCACTGACACTTTAAGAGACAATTGTATGGAATAATCTGCTGCTAGGACAATCATATTTGCCATAATCTGCTGCTACACCAAACTTCCTTATCCCCTATATCTCCTATATTTTGTATATTTGTATATTTATGTCCCTATTTTTACTTTCTCTATTCTACTTGTTCTATCTTTTTATCCATTATATCTGTATTTCAGTTGCTTATGGGTGTAACTGGACCGTGAAAATACAAATTTCGTTCTACCTCATGTACCACATGTGATACAAATGACAATAAAGTCTCCTTGAATCCTTGAATCCTTGAAATTTTAGCTGAATATCTGTAAAATTGTCTAAATTAAAAACATTTTTTTGTATTTCTTGGCTGTAGTGGCTTAAACATCATTGTCCCCTTAACCTTTTCAGCAGTGCCATTTGAAAGACAAAAACTTGTTTTTGCCATGATTATTCGAAGCACAAGGGTTGAGTATTTTGTGTTCCCAGGATGGAACGTTTTGGTGTCTGACGAGTCGTTGCCAGAGCCGAGCTGCCAGTTTGGTTAACTTGTCAACGTTTCATCTATCTTCAACTTGGTGTTCAATGTGGAGCTGATTTGTTGGTGAAGCCACCACATAGCAATTATTTCTCCATGCTGTCATTCCTTGAGCATTGCTTCATGCTAAACTGACAATTTCACAGACCTGCAAACGAGCAGAGAGGCGCTTCATCCCGCTGTGAGCCGGCGCAGTTGATTCCCACCTCTGATGTGGGAAGACTCATTAGTTTCCCCACAAATATCTGTTTCAGCAAGAACATTATCTCAGCCTTGGGTGGGTTTGGTCTGTTTCTTCTTTCCTCCCTCTTTGTCAGTAAACAAACTACTGTCAGACACTGCTAATAGCTGTGCAGCTTCCGTGCTCATCACTCCCAGTTTAAACACTCATCCATTCTCTAACATCTTAAACCACTTTTAATGTCAGGAGAGGATACCTCTCTCAGTAAGGCCTTCATCAGGTGTCTTCATCCTGCAGGTCAGACTGAGCTGACAGCTGGCAGTCAAACAGAACAAAAATCACCAAACACCAGCTTAGAGAAGAGGCACAGAATTAAGAACATCATGACTTCATCAACATTTTTGCTGCTTTTTTTTCCTCTGGTATTCATCATTCCTGTCAGGAGAAATGTTTTATGTATGAAACCACATTCTATAGTCAAATATTTAGTAACTTTCCTGCTCATTATAACTCTTTCAGTGACCTCTTGTGGCTAAAACTGGTTTTCATTCAACCTGCAGTCAGTCCTGTTCAGGGTTTGTGAGAGGATTCAGCTGGTGTGAGCTGTAAGGTGGTTAAATTTGTAAAATGCTACGTTTTACCACAAGCTTAACAACATATATATGCATATTTTTTATTAAAAGTAAAGGTATTGAGTAAAAGTGAGTGACTGGAATTTCCAAAATAACGAGGTGATCTCCCCAAAACAAAACACATTTTTCTAAAGGTCATGATGACCATAATGTTATACTGAAATGTTAATATTGAAAGATTTAGAATGCACTACCTGTTTTAGCTGCATATATCTCTGCCTACATCATCTTCATACTAGTCTACGTAGGTCTGATATGTTCTGCTGGAGTGTGACATCATGTATAAAATGTATAAATGTAGAATAATAAATATTGTAACTATGCCCATGTTTAGTTGACCTGATACAAATGTTTATCATCCAAAAATAGTTGTGGGCACAGGTCTCTGCTACTGTTATTTTGTGGGTCAAAAGCTGAAACGTTTGGGAACCACTGCATTTCAGAAATCAATTTAAAGGGTATTAAAATAATTGATGTAATATTTCCCTATAATTATTAGAAAAACACAAAATAAGTATAAATAAGTATTTATATTCGTGTAGCCTTTGTTTTTAGGGTTATTAACAAAGTTTGTGTACTCAGACCAGTAATATTTGGGGTCACAAGTTTTTGCCATGAATATTTTGTGGATCAGAAGAGAAAAAGTTCGGGAACCACAGCCCTAAAGCAATAAAGCACTATTAGAGGAACTAATTTCCTGAGTAGTGCTTTAGGGCTTTTGCTGTTTTCTTATATTCATTAGTGGATTAGCACTTGCTAAATTTATAGGCTAAATTTAGAAGCACTAACTGAGGTCTTTAAATGTTATTGATCAACATGATTGTTCACAGTTGAGGGTGAAAGCTGTCACACATTTTGTTCATGCGTGTCACTTATCTACAAGGACACGTGTCAAACTCAAGGCCCGCGGGCCAAATGTGGCCTGCGGGTGACTCCCATTTGGCCCGCCAAGGGCACTCAGTGAAAACGTTCTGCACACAGTAAATATTGTCTCATGTTGACTCTGAAGAATGTTTCATGTGTCAGCTGGATCATACTAACTAGTGCTTTAGAAATAGCTTTTGCTAAATTTTTTAGTGCTTTAGTGCTTTTGAATTAGGGGACCTAAATATTTGAGTTAGTGCTTTAGGGTTAGTGCAACTAATATTTATATTTGTGCTGCCTACCACTGCAATATAGACAGAATTGTTTTCTTTGTTTTAAACAAAAACAAGCTAAAATGAATTAGGAGTAATGAGGCTATTTTTAAAATATGAAGAGTATAGAAAGTACAGATAATTGTGTGAAGATGTAAGTAAAAGTGAAAAGTTTACTAATAATAACTCCAGTATAAATAACCAAAATTTTTACTTCAGTAAAGTAACAGAATTTCTTACTTCAAACTTTAACTTTAAACTTTAAATTCTGATATATGATACTAAATGTACTCTGTATTGTATGCGTTTTAATGCATTATATTGTATTAGTATATCGTAACCATGCTTCCTAAAAACAAAAAAGAAAACAAAAAAAGGTCATGCTTTATTAGCTGCTTATTTTCACATCAAATGTTTTTTCAGAGGTCTTAAACTAATTGTGGCAAAATAATACTTAACTCTAAAATAAATATTGAAGACTTTTTGCAAAATTTTGTTTTTTTTTTTGTTTTGTTTTGTTTTACCTTGAGTAAAACCTACAATCAGAAGCTACAAATTAAATGGCGTTATCATCATTCAATCTTTTAAACCTACACAAGGTCTAAACAGTAGTGACATTTTTAGTTGCAATGCTAACACATTTCCCATCAGTCACATGACTTCCAGAAACACTCTGATGAACATTTGTCTAAACTGTCATTTATTAAACATAATGACCAGCAAATATCCAAAAAGGTAAGAGAGCATGTTCTGAGAATGACTGATATTAAAAAAAAATTCAGAGGAAACTACACATTGAGCATCAGTGAAATCTGTATTGCATGAGTCCTCTCAACCACTAGAGGGCGCAGCTGGTTCAGCCTGACAACAACATCCATCCTAAAGAGGACCTTTTAACAAACTTTAAGTTAACACAATATAAGCCTAATGTGAGGCTCTGTACTCAAATCTATCGGCATTAAGGGGTTAAAGTGGCAAAATGAAATCATTGTGGTGTATTTTATGAATTATTAGTGAAAGTAGGTCAGCTGAATATTAGAAAATAAAGAATAATGGATTTAACCGGAGATTTTCCTTCAGACAATTCCGATGTACTCCATATTAAGGTCAACATTATTTTAAAACAATAAGTCTTTAAAAGAAACATGTATATTCTTACTGCAGAACAGTCTTGGAGTTTTTGCAACAGTGTTTGACTGGAAGAAACTAGAAGGATGCTTAAAGTGTGTAAATCTACAAAACTTTCCAGTGCATGCAGCTTACTAATGTTGCACTTTTTTTATCTTTTAGTGAAGGAAGCTTTGAAAAAGAAACAGTTTCTGGTGCAGTCTTCAACAACTTCTCTCCAAGTGTTCACTCTGACTTCGTATGTTGTGCATCACAAAGTCAGCTGTTCACCGAGCTCCATTTCTTTCGAAGCCAGAGAAGATCCTACACCATGCTGCTGCCGTTGAGCTTGGTCCACTCGAAGATGTCCTGCTCGCACACGATGTCCGAGTTGATGAGAAGGTAGCGATCACCCACGCAGAAATGCTTCTGGCAGGCGGCGCACTTGAAGCACTCCAGATGGTAAACCTTGTCCCGCACGCGCATGGTCATCTCAAACGCCCGGATCCTCTTCTCACAGGAAGCGCAGAGGCCGTCCTGACCGAAAAGCCTGAGTGCAGCAGACAGAATCAACATGTTAGAGCTCAGTTAAACTCTGGATCTTTTTGCTTACAAGTTAAAGATTATCTAGCATCTTGAGCACCACTGCTTCGTCTTAGGATGCGAATAAAACCCCCAACTTCCCACCCCGACACCAGACCAACCTAAGATAATCTCGCCGACAGAGTTTTCTTCCCAGCTTGTAGTAGAGGCGACGGCCCACCTCGCCCAGCCGACAGCCACACAGGTCGCAGCTCAGGCAGTCCTCGTGCCAGTACTGCTCGATGGCCTTCAGGAAGAACCTGTCGCCGATGCTCTGCTGACACCCACCACATGTCAGCAGGGACGGGGGCATCTGGAGGACCTCGTCCACCGGCTCCCTGCATGAGGAAAACAACCCAGTTACAAAGGGTCCAAGTCTGAGGACTCAACTAATATTATTATGATCTCTGAGTTTTTGACAGACCTGACCCACACACAGCTGTTAGGTATATTTTTTTATATTGTCTTTGAAATACAGTATTTGGCTGTAATGCCCTTGTTGTCATCATAGAAGGAAAAAAAATGTTTTAAGTGCCTAAGTGAGGATGTTGGTGTCATTCAGGGTGTGTTTCATCTTTAAAGTGTTTTTGAAGAACTCAACTTAAAAGATGTTTAATCTCTCATTCAAGGAGCTTTTTCAGTTCAAACTAAAAGGAGATGCCGGTAAGTTCAAAGCTTTAAAACTTCAGTTAGTTGCTCCATTTTATACAAGCTAAACTCACATGCAAATCACAATCTCCCCTCCTGATTGAGGGTCATTAGCTCAAAAGCTGAAACCTGCCACGCCCTCAGGTTTCGACTTTCAAGAGCCAATAATGTATTTTTAAATTTAATCCCCTGTCAATTTCACTCAAATTCATTCAAACCTTTTTTTATGAACCAGGCTCACGAATTAAAAAAAACCTCATGACCCTCAGGAGGGAGAGGAGGGAGGGATTTTTATGTTGCAAAACCATTAGAAAACCATAAGAACATATAACAATAAAAGGCTTTCTCCTCATTTATGAGTTTGTACCGAGACAGATCCTCAAATGAGGAATGATTATCAAATATAACATTTTTTATTGTAAAACACTGTTAGAATTTTTTTATATTTTAATATTTATTTTGCAGTGTTTGGTCTTTGATCCTGAAAGATGGTCAAATGCTCTTTGATCCTGAATGGTAGGCAGCTTTAAGATTCAATAAGGTTTATTTATGATATAATAACTGTAATGAAATTTTATTTTGACTGTGCCAGAATCTAAATAAAAAACCAAAATGAACATATTGCTAGAAGTATATCTACTAACACAACACTGCATATTGTTATGTAAAAACATATATACTTTTTGAAATACACAATTTTTAAAGTCTTTATTTGATCCAAAATGCTGCTCTATTTCTCCAGTTTTAATTTCTCTCCATTGGCTCCCTGTCAATTTCAGAATAATATATAAAACCTTGTGTCAACCAAGCTCCATTTAAAGAGCTTATTGTTCCATATTTTCCAGAACACTTTGCTCTCAGACTGCAGGTTTATGGGAAGCAGAGCTTTCAGTTATCAAGCTCCTGTCTTGTTGAACCAACTTCCAGTTTCTGCCCATGAGACTAACAGTCTATACCAGTGGTTCCCAAACTTTTTATCTTCTGACCCACAAAATATTCATGGCAAAAACTTGTGACCCCAAATATTATTGGTCTGAGTACACGAACTGTGTTAATAACCCTAAAAACACAGGCTTTTTGACAATCTAAACAGTTTGTACACAAATATGAATACTTATTTATACTTATTTTGTGTTTTTGTAATAATTATAGGGAAAATATTACATCAGTAATTATTTTATTACCCTTTAAATTGATTTCTGGAGATTATCCAAGGTGCTTCATGACCCATATTTGGGTCCCAAGCCCAACTTTGGGAACCAAACATTTTATACTACATTTATCCATTCTAAATATACTAACCTCACTCCTTTGTAACAACTTAGGCAAAAATGTAATTAATTCAGAAAATCTTTTCAGGACCCCACCTTGATGTTTCAGGACCCCACTTTGGGTCCCGACCCCAACTTTGGGAAACACTGGTCTATACTGTTCAGATTAAGACTTTCCTTTTTGATCAATCCTATATTTGGTTTCCTGAGCTGTCCTTATAGATTTGGATGGCAGAAGGACAAAATGAGCACGTTTCATCTCTCTGCTGCTGTCTTTACACTCTCTGCTTCTCACGTTTTTGTAATTATTTCTATCATTGTCTATCGTCTTTCTCCCTGTAGAGTTACACCTGGACCAGCTGTTTTGTGTTTGTCTGTCTCCGTCCTGTCCTCTCTGACCCCAACCAGTCCAGCTGCCCATGGTTCTGCTGGAGGTTTATTCCTGTTGAAAGGAGTTTTTCCTTTCCACTGTCGCCAATGTGCTGCTTAGAGTAGAATGTGACAAAGGGAAATTTCTAAACAATCTGCTGCCTTTCTTAGATATTTGAAATTTTATGATGTTTACAAATGTTTTTGTACAGTGCCCTATGATGTTGTTGTGAACTGGCGCTATAAATAAATTTAATTTAATTAATTAGAATGAGACAACATGTAAAAGTTTTACATCATTTTAACTTCACTTTTCCCTGAAAAGCTAAACTGAAACTCTTATAGATTAATATTTATTTGATCTCTAGCAGACATTTGGCCTTTAAGCCACCTTCAGTTGTTCCACGTGGTTGTCACGTCCTTGAATGTCAGCTTTAAATCACAAATGACAGGATTTTATGACTAAAGCATACTTACTCATTGGCTTCCAGTGTTTTTCTCTCTATGGTAGATGTCATCCTTGACTCTGCAGACAGGCGTCAATGCACCTGCTCCTCCTGTACGCCTCAGATCCCGGTCAAAATGCGTTTCAGAAAGAGCTTTGGTGTCAAAGTTTAATAGAAAATAAAACAAAGCAGCTGTGGAAACGAGTGTCCGCAGAAGGAGAGCATGAATCTAAGCAGCCAGGCGCAGGAGGAGGACTCAGCCTGTCATCGTTTCCTGAGGCGTTAGTAGTAACCCGCGGTGACACTCTCATGCCTTTCGGGTCCAAAACGGGGACGGCAGACCCTGCGCAGACCGCATGGGTCCGATCAGAAGCCCAGCAGCGAGGATGTCCGTGTCCGAGCCCCGGGTTGGACGCAGCGCGCGGCGGATCGACTCCTCCACGTGAAGCCGCCGAGCAGCAGCGGCAGCATCGTGTTTAAATACGTCAGGGGCCCTTCTTCTTCTTCTTGGCCGCTCTCCGCTTTCGTTTCCCTCTTCCTGTTCACGACTGCTTGACAATGAGGGGAAATGGGTCTTAAAGCGACAGCCGAGCAGCGGGGTCGTGACTGAGAGACTAATGGGCTCAGGAGAGCAGCTGATGGGACAGGAGATAAACCAGCACGACCAGTTCAAGACTTGTTTTGTTTTCTGAGCTGTCACTCATGTGAAGAGGAAAAATAAAATGTTTAGGCCAAAAGTGTAAAGTCTTAATTCTGTTTTACTGACATGAGATGTTTGGGGAAATGTTTTGAACAGTAAACATCTTACCTGTTGTAGATAGCTCTTTGAACA